TGATGCTATTAAATATGTATAGTGGGCATAGATGGAAGGTGATACTATTAAATATGTATAGTGGGCATAGATTGAAGGTGATACTATTAAATATGTATTAGGGTATAGATGGAAGGTGATACTATTAAACATTTACAGCAGACATTGTTTGTAAATTAGTGTATTAAACTTGTACAGTGAATGGAATTTGTTGGAAGATTATAATACATGTAACATATGTTTATGAATTTATGTTCTCTTGTGTAAAAACCTTACAAAAAGATAAATCATGTATATCATTTAATTCTTCATAACATTTGTTGATTTATTAGATATTTGGGTTTAGTCTTTAATTAAAAATTATACTTTTATTTCAAAAGTAGACAAATTGTTTATATTTTCAATTTAAAACCAGTACATTTAGGAAACTTAAATATCAATGTTTCGTTAAAGAGTAAAAAACACATTTGTGGGCAAAATGTAAGGTAAAATATTTATCATTAGTTACAGCCAACTAGTTTTCGTAGCACAGTTACCATCATCGTGGCAAGTGTCTGGTGATAATGATATCTGTGTTACTGTTAGTCGGCTGTAACAAATAATGAATATTTTTTTCTTTTGTTATGCCAAAAAACATCAGTTTTTGTGTTTTTCATTCTTAATATGGTAGCGTAATGTGCCCGAAAAAAGATTATCAATATTTCACTTAGATTACTTAGAACAAGAAGAAGGTAAGGACCTTGTATTAAATATGAAACTATAAACCTAGTAAAGCTGGATATATTTAATGTCCAAGTCACAAATTTTGCTACCTGCACATTTCTTGTGTATTAAATGTTATTTGTAAATAAACTGGAAATATACAAATATCTCTAAATGCATTATTACATCTAAGCTTGAAAACAGCTTGCAAACATGGTTTAAGCTTTTAACAAATTTTAAGATATGGCCTTTGTTGTTGTTTTTATATAACTTTGGTACAGGAGAACAATAATTATGAAGATAATAAGTATCAAACTCTGCTTTTTCAGGTCACCGTAACTTTGAACTGGATGGTTCGCATGAGTTCAGAGCTCGAGGCCAACATTGTGTCAGTAGAAAGGATATGTGAATATTCTCAAACACCTAATGAGGTAATGATTTAGGATCTAGTCACCAAATATGTGAAAAAGATTTACACAGAATATCAGTAAAAAGATACAGCTACCACAAAACTACTGAATTATCAGCTTTACTTAAGCAGTGTTAGTGTTTTGTTGATTTTCTTCAGAATCAATAAAATACATTAGTTTCAATACTTAAAAGCATTATTACATTTCAGGTCACATGAGTATGATTTTAGCTTCCGAATTATTTCAACCTATAAACTGCATATTTATTTTAAAGGCATGCATGAATTGATAATATTACAATTTACTTTTTGTTTTAAACATCAAAATATTCTGATAAATCTGTTACCAGCCTTCGTTGACATCATAACACTAATCTTGCATGTTGGTGTTGAAAATACTTGACAAATTATGACAAGTTTCAGTTGCTATATTAAAAGAAAAAACAATAAGAGATAGTAGGAAAATCAATGTTAAGAATTACAGATAATTTTACAAATAGTATTTGAGTATACAACTAAGTGGACGGGCAGATTCTTAATTTCATGATATTCTTGTTCTGACACTTAATAATCAAGAAGTTTTGTTGAAATTGTTATTGAGCCACCATTTCAGTCAAAGTAATGTGTTTTACTTATTTTTGTTTCTTTGCTTCAAAACCAAACGCCCTTATATTTTATATACAAATACTAGCATGATTTAAGAATGTGTTAGTTCTATAACAGCTTTTAAGTACAGGCCTAATGACTAGTATTTTCTCTGTGTTATACAACAAATGGTTTTCACTTTGGTATTTTTATTATGTTAAAGGCACCATGGATCACTGAAGAACACCAACCACCCAAGTCCTGGCCTAGTAAAGGTGCTATGAAAATTAATCAGCTTACTGCACGTTACAGAGAAGGACTAAATCCTGTTCTTAAGGAGGTAACCTGTGATATAAAAGAAGGAGAAAAGGTAAAATGACTCATGATAAATATTCTAAAAAAAAACTAGTGCATTCAAAGCAGTGATAATTATGTAAAAATAATTTTTATAGGCTTTGTTAACCAATCAGAATGATTTTTTTGTAGTAGTGATGTTATTTAAACATCTTTATAGTTAACAATAACTGCTGGCCAAAGTAAGATCAGAACCAGAAAATAATTATTGGAATACATTGGTTTGCCAATCAGGTATCTTTGTTATGATTAGTATTTTTGAACGTAAGTAATCCCATGAAGTTCTGTCAACTTAAAAACTTGGGTTAGTAATAAATCCTTAAGGCTAAACTAGTGTAATAATATATATATATATATATATATATATATATATATATACGTATTATGT